ATAAGGTTGGACCTTTTACTCACCATCTGTGACCTCAGCTGTTTGCAAGCTATTCAACAAATTCATAATGATATCCTGGTATTATGACACCAATTATAATAAGAATATTTATTGGTTCCTAAGTTTAAATTCTTCAAGGCATTTTACACTTGTAGAATTAATAAATAAAAAAACTAGTACAACCTTCCTCACCTGTTGAATTGAAATCTGCTGAAAAAGATTCTGAAGGTGGAGCATGAGAAGTGACGCAGGTATGTTATTATTGCCAATTTCCTTGGGAGACTGACTGATAGGCTAAAAAAAATCAGTTACCTTAGATAAGGTTTAAAATTACCAGTCCCTGAGGACACAGGTTTACAGACCACTCTGTGTGTGTGCACACATCAGAAACAACAGCTGTCAGTCTTCTGTTTCTTTTACAAATTTTATGTTCACTGTAACATCTTTAATGATTTTCTAAAGAGTTGATAAAACCCAAGCAGATGAAAGTGGTGGAATAGCAACAAAAAGTTATACACTTTAACTGGATTGAATGGAAAAGAAATCTATGAGGTCATTACATGAACCAATTGTTTGGAATCAAGTAACCAATCTCCAACACTAGCAGATTTCCTTGGTGGAGATCCCTAAAAATCACAAAAATACAATATCAAGAACTACGCATCCAAGTGAAATTATCATTAAAAGATTATTGCAACATTCGCTACTTACGTGTGAAGATCTTGGAGGAACTGTGCATAATGGAATATCCTGGCATACACATTTAAGTTAGCTGCGGTCATTTAATAAAAAAATATCTCATAAGAATAGTGTTGCACCTTTACAAGATCAAAATTTTCGGAAGTTACTGAAAACTGCCATTTTATTTGCACCAAATTGGCCTTTGATTTGTCCTCCAAAGAATCTCTATATCCTATTGGAGAAAAAAATATGTTAATGCAACAAAATTTCTTAGCCAATGATTGCTTATCATTTAATGTATTGCACAAAAAAAAAATGTTTTCTATGAAACAGTTTCCAGTTGCATTGTACTAATAGCAGTAGCAATGGTGCTGATATGTCTTTATAAAAAAAAAAAAAAAGGATTTATTACCTCCTGAAGATTTAATGGGAGCTGATAAACTGTTTGTTGAAGCCACCAACAAACCAAACATCAACAACTCCAACCATTACCAGACCTAAACCATCATAAAGAATGCAACATACAATCTTCAAGACCCCAATTGAAGATATTCAATCTCTTCTAAAAAAAAAACACAACAGCAAGGAAAAAACAAAGAGCAAGTGCTTTGACAGTATTATTAACCGAAATTCTAGCTGAGGCAACTTCAAATAACATCAATAATGGTGGTATGTATCTTCATATAAAAATAAATAAAAAATAAAAAAACCCTTAATTTGGCACTTTTAAGTATTGAGCATTATTACCTCAACGGCTCAACCCACTAGAAGGGATCCTTAATTTTTTGAAGGATTGAATGTGAAAATGCAAAAAATTATGAGGAAAAGGGGTATGGTTGCTGCTGTTGTGCGATTGGAGTGGAATTAGGTAGAGGAAAAAAAAACGTACCTGCCATAGATTATGGACTCGATCGCCATGAAAGACAAATGTAGAAAGGCACACATTTATTAAAATACTAAGAGAACCATAGCCATCGCACACAGTGACACACACAAACACAAAAAAAAATCTCTAGTTTGGAAGCTACTTTTCACTCTTGGAACAAAGGTAAAGGCCCGAATCAAATGAACCAAAGTTAGAACAAATCAAATCAGATCAAATCAAGAAGGGAGAGCAATTAGACAATTCACTTTGAGTACAGGTAAGTCTACTAGTAGGAATTCCTTAGGTCATATTACTGTTTTTCACCGAGGGGGTGGATCGAAGCGATTGCAGCGAAGAATTGATCTGAAACGAAGTACTTCGTCTGCAAACCGTGTATTTTCGGCTTCAAACTAGGATCATGCAAAAGGAGAGAGAAGAGAGAGAGAGAGCATGAACATACCTTGTCACCTGAGGCGATAGCGGAGGCTGCACCCCGCGGAGTGTCGAAGCAGATTGTGTCGCCTGAAACTTGCCCTAACCTTTTTTTTTTTTTTTCTTTTTTTTTTTTCCATCCCCTTTTGAGGCCCAAGGCGACCAAGACCTCCCAATCGTGTGTATTATTGGCTTATAGCATGGGAATATTTTCAAAGGAATTTTGGGTCTGTTTGGTTAGACAGAAAATTTTATGAAAAGTGAAAGAAAGTGAAGTCAAAGAAAGGAAAATCAAGTTTCTATCATGCATTTGGTTAGCAAGAAATATTTTGAAGAAAGTTGTAAGAAAATATTATTTTAGTAGTTTGGATAGAATGAAAAGGAAAAGAAAATGATTCTACTTACCCAAAATACCCTTATAATTTTAAATAGTAAAAAAATAAATAAATTTATGTTTGATAAATATTATTTATATTTAATTATTTATTTTAGTAAGGAAATAGTGAAATATGGAATAGAATAGTATGTGATATCATAATATAATTTTTTTTGTTTTCTCCTCTCTCTATATATATTCACTTGTTCCTGTGTAAACTTATTCTCGATCTTTAAGATAAGAAAAATTAGTTTTTGGTAAAGTGGACTATCAAAATTTAAGTATTTATTTTCTCTTTATGTTAGTTTTAATTTTATTTTTTATTATTTATTTATAAATGATGTAACTGAATACTAATATCTAATTACAACTTTCTCACTGAGAAAATAAAGTCATAGACAAATTATGTAAACTATTTACGAATCATCAATTATTTATTTCAAGATAATGTTTGATGTTAGGTATGAAACAAATTGTGTTAAGATAATGTAAACTAGTTTTCACCTAACACTCTTGTTATCAACAAATAGTTATGTATATATATAATAACTCTTAATCATTATCAATTATAGAGACATTTAAAAAAAATGAAAAAAAATAATTCAGTATAAAAGGAAAAAATTAATTAATTTTGGATGCACATATAAAAAAAATTCAAACAATTTAATTTGTAATACATGATTTTATAAAAAAGCAATTTACAGAAGAAATAAACTTTCCTTTCCAAAGAAGTCTATGTAATTAAGTAAAGAAGAAAAGAGATAACTAACATGGGTATAATAGGAAAGTAATATACAAAGTACACAACCTTTGCGAGAAAGTGAATTTCCTGCGTTTTTTGCACGAAAAATTTTAAGGAAAATTTTCAAATGCGGGAATCCTACTTTCCCCAAAACTTTCACTTTCCCTCTAACCAAACTTCCAAAAAATTTAAATATTTTCCTTTTCTTTTCTTTTCTATCTACTTGACGCTAACCAAACGGACCCTTTGGGTCTTTGAAAAACTTTGGCCCAATATTAACGATATAACATACAAGTTGTTATAATAGAAAATGCACGCCTTAAAAGGAAAATTTAAAGGGCAATTAAGTGCAAGCCGTTAATATAACCATATTTTAGCTTTTAATGACTTGCCTAAAACATAAGTCATAAATTAGCACATAAGAAGGCTTGTTGTTTATGCATGTTGTCAATTACAGTCGTAAAACATCAATTTTCTTGTAGTGTCAGCATCTTACTTCCCAAAGGGAGTTAGGGGTTCAAGTCTCAGAAGAGATGTGTGTGTGAGTACCAACTAGGAAAAAAAAAAAAGAAAAGTCTAATTATAAGAAAGACAAAGCAAGAGAACAAAATTGCTTATGCAGCAATCCTGAAAGCATCATCCATCTCTAGATGCAGACTGCAAATCTAAAAAGAAACAATTTGAAATGTGCATATGATCAGGGTAAAAGTTCTTGTCACATTTTCAGTATTGTAATATTCACGTCTTAATGTGCAGCTCCCAATTCGACATTCCTTTTGTATGCAGATTTTTACTCAAAATGGTTGCATGCACAATAATAAAGTAAGCCTTTTGGAACTCAACAACAACAAACTCACTTGCACCCTATAATAATAATAAATAAATAAAATTTGGTCTTTAACATATGATGAAACCACAAAGTTATGAAACATCAAACATCAACAATGTTATTAAATGAATAGCCTTAGTGTGGTTAAATATATCTAATAAATCAATTTCAATTGATAATATGTATATAATCTTAATATATGGATTGATAAATTATATAGGAAAATTGTAACATGAAACCAATCACACAACTTCACTTGTACATATTTTTTCAGGGCAAGTTACTTGAAAGTGTATATATTCAGATAATCTATATAATATATCAAGCAACAACTCTAAATGAAAAACAAAAAGGAAAAAAGTCTTTAACATATGATGAAACCACAAAGTTATGAAACATCAACAATGTTATTAAATGAATAATGTTGGTATGGTTAAATCTAATAAAACATTTCAAGTGATAAATCTGTATATAATCTTATATATAGATTGATAAATTTATAGAGGAAAATTGTAACATGAAACCAATCACACAATCACTGTTTATCTAACAATCATATACATAAACTATAGACAATGCTTGAAATACTAGAGACCAATCACACATCACTGTACATCTAATAACATAATGATGACGATAGTCAATAGTAGTAGTAGTGGAAATTGCGCCCTTAGATTATAGCAATACTAGGAATAACAACTCATCTCGACATAATTGTGCTCAAGTCCATAGACCAAACAATTGGCCTGGTAGAAGACTTTTTTCCTAATTAAAGGTCTCTCCACGAGGAAATACTTAGTGACATGCTACACTAATTATTTAATAGTTTAAAGGGATGTTTGCTACAAAGATGACCTTAACAACGGCAGGGTGTTTGTTATACCTGAGAAAGAAAATTGGAAGGCCTTAACAGCAGCAAGCGTAATTTGCAGTTGAGGCGGAGAATATCTACAAAGTCAATTACACAACAAAATTATATCACCACACAGGCTAAAGGAAGCACATATGATGATATATTCAAACCATCGAATATGATAAAACAATTGAAGAAAAATGCCGTCAAGAAGTTACTCGCCTTAAAAAATGGACCCACACGGAATGATGAAAGGGAGGATCCTGATATATGGTGACAGAGAAGTGCTAGCCTCATGGCAAACCTGTAACAAGCAGATAATGTTTAAAGTGAACAATAAAATAAAAATTGATAAACATTAACCCATAATAATGAATTTATATATATATAAGATTAATTACATAATACAATAATAATTCTGGAATCCTCGGGTTCACAAGTAGTAGGATGAGACTCAACAAGATCAGCTTGGTGGTTTGAGACATTCATACCCAATGCATTATTCTGCCCTTGTAATGGGGTAAGCATTTGCATTTACTACATCTTTCATAACTCTTCATCGGATTTTCTCCTGGCTGTTGGGCAGCTTGTTCATTGAGCTTCGCCTGCATAACCAAAGGCACAAATATTTATAAGAATAAGCAAAGACATTATAAGAAGATATGGTGGCTTCATGCACACCCATGGGATAACTTATTATGGGAGTATAATTACAGGCCACATGTATGCTATCTCATAGTATAAAATAGATTGAAATCATCACTTGATAACCCAAGTTTGATATTATGAATTACTTTAAAGAACACTGAATTATCATGATCAAAAGTTTGCTAGGGAAGGGATCAGCTGAAGCCTCAAGATCATTTGTTTGCCCTTCTGCACTCGTCTCATGGAGGTTGCTGTTCTTGATGACATGAACAACCCCTGCAGCCTCGGTAGCAAAGAGAAACAATACGGAACCTTAGAAGGGACTTTCAAGTCTTTCTAAACGAAGAAGCTGCCTCAACTTCTAATAATGTTTTAACAGTTTTCCATCTGGAAGCACTAAATGCTGCACTTATCATATCATTAGTGGCTTCTTTCTGATATGCTTGTAATCATTTGGACAAGCATCGAGTATCAACCTTGTTGTAACTCAACTCAAGAATTCAATTATTTTTTTAGTCTTATAAATTATCTTTAGCTATGTTTTAGCCTCAAGGAATGCCGATTTATTACTCCATTCACGGATGTATTATATGTAAACAACCAAACAATAAAATAGAGTTTAGTGAACTTTTTGTATTCTAGGTACATTTCTTGCTTGCTATCTTCCACCAACTTCAAAACCTTTATAGCATTTACATTGGCCCCCTCTCTCTAGCTTCATGCGGTGGATCATCCCTCCCATCCTTTGAACTCCTAGTCCCAAATGGGTCATGAAGCATCCCATGCATGTCTTCTCGCTGATTTGAATCCTGTTTTACAATGTCATTTGCAGCTGTAGAAGCTCCCCATAGTAAACCCAATATATACAAGTCTCAGGAAATTCCAAAGCATCCTCGTGAGCCTGGCAATGGGAAAAAAATGTTCTCCCTGCAGCTGCATTATCAAATGCAAATTCCAAGAAACCTATGACTCCATCTAGGTATTCCTTTCTCACCCCATTTTTACCAAACAAAAAAAGTTGACTCATTTGCAGTAAGGACGTGACATTATACTTGAAAGCCCAATTAATTGAGAGGATGAGCATTATACGGAGGTGCCTTGATTTGTGAATCCAACTTTTATTAATTCCATCCCCTTCAACCAAATTTGAAATCCATGTGATCGACAGACCTATGAAGGCAACTATTCATAAAGTAAATGTCGGTAGGGTTAGGCTTTTTATTATCCTACCTCTAAAAATTTTGGTCTCAATTAGCATTGTCTCAGTTGCAACAATCTTAAAAAATTCTAAGATGGATAAACATGATTCTTAGGAAAGTTACTAATACACATGCAGTAGAAGTTTCACACTTGAAAAAAGATAAAAGATAATACACTTTGTCTTTCACACAATTACACTAGTTCGACTCTCAAAATAAATAGATAAAGGGTGAATTATATTGTATCACTAGGTCACAACTTTACAAATTCACATATTGATGGAGATAAATGGCAACAATCTTTAAAGGTGTGGAAAGGAAGATTCTAAGACTCGAGCCTTAATTTGGCATGGGTTAGTTAATGTGGATCCACTTAGAGTCTTGAATAATTAGGTGTTTTGGTCAAGTGGCATCATTTATGAGTTTGGAGGGCATTAAGATACAATTAAGGTGGTTTTATTTGTTTTAATGTTATCAAGTTATAAGTTAGGAATTGGAGGAATTGGAAGAGTTGGCAGTCTTATTAATGATCTCAATTATGAGGAAAGTTTATAAGTCATGAGCATAGTTGTTAAAGGCGCCACCTTGGCGCCTTGATTGACTTAAGGCGAGGGACTTGATATAGGCGAGCGCCTTTTGGGATAAGGCGCTGGGCTACAGGCGAGATGTAGGCGCGCCTGTTTGAAAAATAATTTTTTTTTTTAATATTTTGTTATTATTTTGGTTGTGTAACTTGTCTTACTTGTATATTTTATTATTTGTTTATTTCTATTACAAAACCTATATACAACTTGCAAGTTACAAAGCAAAAAAAAAAAAAAAAGAAATCAAAAGGCAAAAGGAACGAAGAGACTCCAGAGACAGAGAAGTACAACTGTACGAAGCGCCGAAGCCTGGACTCCGACTCTCGGATCTGCCGGATCTGCGTCTGCGCCGAAGTTTGGTGAGTTCTCCTTCCCTCTCTTCTTCTTCTCTCCTTCTTCTCTCCTTCTTGCTTCTTTTTCTCTTGAGTCTCTTCTCGGTACTTTTTTTTTTTCTCTTTTCTTCTTCTTCTCTTCTTCTTTTCTTCAGTTCTTCTTCTTCTCTCAGCTCTCTCGAGTCTCTACTCCCTAGTCTCTTTTATTTTTTTCTTCTTTGAGCCGATACCTCTTCTTTTATTTATTTATTTTTTTTTTCCCTCTATTCTTCTTCTCTTGTCTCTCTTGCACTTCTTTTATTTTTTTTATTTTTTTTTTCTCTATTCTTCTTCTCTCGACTCTCTCTGCTCTTTTTTTTTTTTTATTCTTTTATTTTATTTTTTTTATTTTTTTATTTTATTCTTCTTTAAGCCAAGTCTCGGCTCTTCTTTTATTTTTTTATTTTTTTTTTCTCTATTCTTCTTCTCTTGGCTCTCTTGCTCTTCTTTTATTTTTTCTTCTTCTCTCGGCTCTATCTGCTCTTTTTTTATTTTTTTATTTATTTTTTTAGGCTGGTCCTCTGTTTTTTGTCCTCTATTTGTTTGGTCCTCTGTAATATATAAAAGAATTAATTGATGCATGTGAGATACAATTGGAAGTTGTATATTGACTGTTGGGACTTTAAATTGTGGGCTGTGACCCTTGTGAAGGAAATTGGGCAGTGCTGTTAAATGAAGTAAGGGCTGTGTCTATGTATATAAAAGAGAATTGTTGCATGTTAGGTATTAATTGATGCATGAAACAAAATGCTTATATAGTTATATACATAACATTACCACCTAATAAAGTATTAAAGATTCAAAAGTATTAACGTGCGCCTTGCTTCAGTCGGGCGCGCGCCTTGCTTCAGTCGGGCGCGCGCCTTGCTTCAGTCGGGCGCGCGCCTCGCCTTGCGCCTCAGGCTCCAGGAGGCATTTGCGCTTTTGTGCGCCTTGAGCCTTTAACAACTATGGTCATGAGTTAACCAACATGTAAGTCTAAGAGGCGTGAGTAGAAATCCTAAAAAGGCCGAGATGGGTGTAATATTGGTTGAATCAGTGAATAGATGAATAAAAAATATCTCATGAAATTTCCTTGTGATGATTCACAATTTATGAGGGTGTAAGACCTTCTCTAGGTGTGAGGTCTAGACCTGTTGGTGTGACTCCAATAGGATGCTCTTATTCTATATCTTTTCTCCTTGATTTTATACATTCCTACTCCCAAACCTCAAATTTCAGCCCTCGTTGTTTGAACTATCAGCACTGAGTTGTGTAAGTTTTAGCTATTTAAGGCTGCTCTTAAAGTCCTACATCACATATTCTTTTAAAATCAATATTCTTGCAGAACTTATATGCTCTGATGGATACAACTTTGGAATTGTTCCCATTGAAACATTCAAATTATATGTTTCTAGATAAACCAAATAAAACAAAAAGGACTCTCAAATAAGGCTGTAAACGAGCCAAGCTTTCGACGAACAGCTCGAGCTCAGTTCGCTAAGGGCTCGGCCCGTGTTCATTTATTTAATAAACAAACCAAGCCCAAACAAGTTTTGCATGTTTGATAAATAAACGAACCAATCTCAAACACTCCCCAGCTCGACTCGTTTGTTCATGAAATGTTCATGAACGGGCTTGTTAATATGCTCGTTTTTGAGCTCGTGAACATGAATATATATGTATGTTTTTATGTATTTATATCCATATAATAGGTCAACCACTTTAAATATTAACTTAATAAAAGTCCATTTCAACCCAACCCAATCCAATTCATATAAGAAATAATACGATTGTTTTAGAACAAAACAGCACAAGCCCATGTTCCAAGCCCATCCATATCATCCTAAACACACCTCATAAACGTCATATCCATCCCAAACCCTAACACACAATCTGCCGTCCAAAATGCAAAATCCCCATGTCTTGGGAATATCTTCAATTTAGAAGCCAAATATTTTCTCTCTTACGTTGATATTTTCAGAGATTCGTTGTCTATTACCATAAAATGCTTGAACATCAGTGTCATTGGTGCGAGTTCGAGCCTTAGAGCAGTTACTTTGTAAAAAAACCATAAGTTAGATCTATCCCTAACCAGAATTCTGCTATAGCAGGACCAAAACTGCGTAATGTCCCTTTATCCTGATATTTTCAATACTTAATGATGTCATATAATTCATTTATCCAATTAAAGTGTTTTAAGTGCATTCAATACCTCATTTATTGCCAAGGTTATAGTACATCTTGCATCCTATGCATTTATTGTGAGAAAAGGCATGTTGCATAAACTAGTAGACAACTTTAATCAAGGATATGAAATTCTGTTTAATGTTCAGATCTTGGGGAAGTCATAAACACTTGTTTATGTTCATATAGTGCAAATGGAGTGAGATAAATAGATGAGGAATGATAAAATGTAAAAACCTACTTTAACAAGGAAAATAACAGAGAAAGATCAGCTTATTAACATTACCATAAGTTCGTGAATATGAGAGTCGTTGCCTGTTTCAGCGGTTTAACGATTGATTATCGTGTCATTTGTGCCAGTTGAGTCTCAGACCAGCCACTTTGTGAAGCATTAAAATTATGTCTGTCTCGAGTCATTCCTCCTAGGACCCTGTTGTAGCAGTACCATAACTAGGTAATGTCCCATTATAACTTCATGAAGTATTCATGCTCATAAATAGCATTAATCTGAGGAGAAAGGTTGAGAACAATTTAGAAGCAGTTGTATGCCCCTTAAATAACACCTTTCCACACATATACATGCCACAAATCACTACCTCTCTCATATACACAATAAAAGTCAAGCTTAAACTATCATTTTCTCAGCTCTCAAATTACAACTTCAAGAATTTCAATAAGCAAGATATGAACATGAACGAAGAGAATAATAATGAAGAGTTCTTCCCTAATAACAAATCAAACACTAATAGAAAATCCCAACTTCAATGGCCAACTCATAAGCTCGGTATGGCGGAGCTTTTTTTGAGGTTTTTGCTTGTTGATTTTCTTAGTAAGCTTCAACAACAATTGCCATATTTGAGGAAATTCAGACGAAGTTCAAACAATCAAATTGATTTACAACTCCAATTTGAAAACGCAACCAAATTGATAATAGAATACTACACAAGGGTTTCTCTTCCTTACAATAAAACCTTACCCTCCAAAACCCAAAATCCCCAATTTCTTTAAAATTAGTAAATTACAAATATATACATATAACATAAGGTTTTGGCATTACGAAATATACACACACATAGATAAAAGAGAGAGAAATATGTACCAGAGAAAATCAAGCTTTGCGTTGTGAAAAAGAAGATCGTTTTTGCGGGAACTGGGAAAATATTATGCGAGGTAGATTTGGTTGGAACAGAGAGGCAATGGAGCGAGACAGCAACGTGCATTGAAAAGAAAAGGAAATAACTTTGTTGAAAATCTTATAAATTGTATTATTTTTATTGGCACAGATAATTCATAAATACAAAATTAAGAAATTGGTAAATAAGAAAAAAAATTTATTGTTTTTATTTATTACTTTTTTATTTTATAATTATGATTTATTTGTGCGATTGACTATTATTAACCGATGAATAGACAAGTCTTGCCCACTGAATAATACACTTTTCTCAAATCAATACTATGATATAATTACACGACTAGATGGATTTTTCTCAAATCATTTTTCTTTTTGTCTTTTAAAAAATAAATTAAATGTTACTGCTCCTCTTCTCATATTAATAGTTCTTTTTTCCTTTTACGAATGGCCCAAATTAATTATTCTTGAAATATACTATCTATCTTTTCATAAATACTTTTTAAAATTTTAAAAATCTTACAATTTGATACCAAACACATATAATCATAAAAGGATAAACTTTATAATTTTAGAATGGACAATACATTAATTATATGTCTTTTTAAAATTTTACTCCCCCTGTCCTCATTTAAGTGTCACTTATGAAAAGTGTAATTTTTAGGAACAGGTGAAATATGCATCGTCTCATTTAGAAAGTTACTAATTTGTTATTTTAAGTTTTGAATATTCTAGTTTGAAATTTTAAACTCAAAAGACATATATGAAAAGATGTGAAATATATTATTTAAAAAAAAAGATAAAATACAGCTATACTCCCTGAGGTTTGACAAAAGGACAAATAGACGAAAGTTATCCAATTTTTGGACAATAACACCCCCTTCTAAAATTTCATCCAAACAAGGCCTTAAATTATATGAAAAGACAAAATTACCCCTCAATAATTTTTTATTCAAATATATTACAGAATATCAGACCTTGCAAAATGACGTTATAGCCCCTTATATATACTTACATACATACATACATACATACATACACAGAACCAGATGGAAGGGGAAGCCTGGTAAAGCCGTGAAATTGGTTGCTGTCGCCGTTGTTAGTGGCGGCTGCGGTGGAGGAGGGTGGTATGAGGTTGAGGTTCTTGGAGGTGGGTTGTTGTTCTTGGAGAGACGACGATGCCGCACACTTTCTATACAACGAAGAGATCTGGTCAGAGAGGGTTGGGAGGTTAATCGAAGAGATTGGGTGTTGGGAGGCGAATCGAAGAGGGTTGGGAGGTCGGCGAGTTGTGTGTCGCCGCCTGCACCTCGTCGGCTGAGTTGGTGTCGCCGCCGCGGACACCATTGGGCTTCGATGACGGTGGATAGACCACTGTCGGTGAGAAGAGGCATGATGGCAGCAATTGCGACGGCGAACTCGGCTGTGATGAGAAACTGCGGCGGTGAGCTCGGTTGCGAAGAAGACCCTGTTTGGCTCCCCTGTTTTGTATGTGTGTGTATATATCTATACATATATTGTATATATGTGTATATATCTATATATGTTTGGCTGTTTTATATATATAGGTGTAATTTTAAGGAGTAGGGTTTTGTGTGGTGGTGGTCGGTGAATTGGGGATGATGATGGCAGTGATTATATTCAAAATTCAGTGGTACTTAAAAAGATGGATGCATTTGATCTCAATATTCGTACGTTGGTTTGTCTACCGAGTCTCAAAATCCTCGCAATTGAGTTCTATACATTTTTGGATGACGACTCATTTTATAGGTTATTTTCTAGCTGTCCTGTGCTTGAAGATTTGTCCATCGAAGGATTCAATCGGAGAAATATTAGTGATTTTAACATTTCTGCTCCTGTTCTCAAGAGATCAACTATAAAATGCGAAAGTTATAGGGATTCTGATTCTAAGTACAAGATTGTGCTTAATACACCAAATTTTCAAGACCTAGTGTACGAAGACTATTTAGTAGAATTCTATCCAGTGAATGAATTAAATGCTCTTGTCAAAGCAGACATTTGTCTCGATCTATTCCCCGGCTATGTTCCTGATGGATCAGAACTTGCTATATCAGAAATTTTTAAAGGAATATCTAAAGTAAAGTGGCTTTTTTTATCGGGTAGTTGGATAAAGGTTAGCATACTCAATTCTGTGTCTATTTTTAGATGATCTTTCCTTTATATATATATATATATATATATATGCCCAAATGTAATTTTGAGAGAGAGTTTGCTTTCTTTTTGCATGAAGGAAATTGAATTGTGCAGATTATCATTGCCAAAGTTTGACCATTTGACTTATTTAGAGTTTTACATGGAGCTTGGTAACGAGGAATTTGCTAGATATGAATGGTTATGTATTTTGTTGAAAGCTGGCCACTGTTTTATATTCAGTCCAGCGGTGATTATACATACACACACATACATACAGAGAGAAAGGTTTGGGTTTGGGTTTGGGTTTGGGTTTGGGTTTGAGAGTATTTAAGTTAATTAAAATATTAATTTTATATCAAAGGGTAATAAAGTTAATTTATCATTGTTAGGGTCTCTTTGTCAATTTTTCAAACTTAAATGTTTGGATTTGAGTTTGATTTAAGAGTGTTTAAGTCAATTAAAATATCAATTTTATATCAAAGAATAATAAAGTCAATTCAACATTGTCAAGGTCTCTTTGTTCATTTTTCAAACCTAAGGGGTGTCATTGTTCAAAAAGTGGGTAATTTTCATCTGTCTATCATTTTGTCAAACCTTAGGGGGGTGTGACTCTACTTTACCTAAAAAGAAAAGTGGACATTTATTTTGGGATGGACAAAAAAGAAAAGTATGACACTTATTTGGGAACGGAAGAGTTTAATATTACATGTGAAAATATAATATAGGATAAAAGGGATAATGTTTAAATAAATAATTTTGTTAGACATTGAATAAAGAGATGTAAACATTTATACCATTCAATTAAGAAATTATACATCAATCTATTATATTTTTTGAATTTGTAACTTTGATTTTTTATTTTTTAAAATTGAGTGGTTAAGGTGAGATTCTTACTATTATGCCACAGCCTTAAAATTTTCATTTACTGCATACTCTAAAAAAAAAAAAAATTCTATTTTTATTCACTTTCATCTGCACTATATCTAATCAAAACTAATAGCCCATTTGAAATTGGTCACTTTCCACTGCATTTTATCTAACTAAACTACTTAAAAAACACTTTTATTTTAAAAGAGACTTTCACAAATGAGTCGCAATTTTAGCTCAGAGCTTTTAGAACTCCTTATTAGGTATATATTTTAATATTATTTGATTTGAGATATTTTGAATATATAATATATATTATTTCGGACATTGTATCATCATCATCATATATATATAATATTATTTTACATTATATATATACAGACGTGTTTGAAGGGGGCGCTATTTTTTTAGATAGTGATGCCCTAGGCCGTCTAAAGGGCGTGGGAGGGGAGCTTAAAATTGGAAAACTTGTCCTGACATGGAAAACTCAGCAAAATAACGTGAGAAAAGATGGTAAATGAAGGAAACTGTGAAGCTCTCTCTCTTAAGTGCTTTTTAAAACATCTTTGTTGCCTTACAGCCAAAGAATAACGCCCTCTCTTTTTCGCTTCACACACACAGCACAACCCAACCCAACCAATTCTTCATCGTACCTAACACCATTCAATTCTCTACCTATAGATGTAATATTATCTCTGAGAGAAAGGGGGTGTATTGTATAATCATCGATGGCGGCATCAGCGGTTATCGGTGGAGGAGGAGGAGATGTGCGGAGGGCACACGCGGCAATGGCGATGGTGCAGCTCTTCAGTGGAGGGTATCATGTCATCACCAAACTCGCTCTCAACGTTGGAGTCAACCAGCTTGTCTTCTGCGTCTGTCGCGACCTTCTCGCCCTCTCTATCCTTGCTCCCATCGCCTATGTACGCGAAAAGTCAGTCTTTTCTCTCTCTCTCTCTCTCTCTCTCTATATATATATATATACGCACACATACACACATATATAAATATTATATATTTTTGATGAAAATGAACCTAGTTGGTTGGTTGGATGCAAATGAATTGACAACTTTGTATGTTCTATTGTTTTGATGCATAAATTGGTCCCATTTTTTTTTTTTTTTTGCGGCCTTGGAAAAAAACCATTAGAGATCCAGTTAATTCAATTTAGTGTGAACAGATGCAGTGAATTTTCTCTGAACTCGTGGAATGTTATCACTGGCCCCTTTTTAAAAATTCAGTATGTTTCAGATCAAACAACTGATACGGATTTACCCTTTTTCTTTTTTCCCCAAATTGATCCTTCATGGTAAACTCCTAGAGTTGGTCACTTTAAAAGGGCATTGCTTAGTGTAGTCCTTGAAGGGGAAAACGGAAAACCTTAGCATTAATTTGCACATTGTGGCTGCTCTCACACTTCAAATTGCATCGCTTGATAGCCCGAGATTTTATGTTGCACCAAGCAATGGACCCTTGATTTTGGTCATATTCTGAACAAAACTTAATTGTAGAGAGGGAACTACTTGTTGCTGAAATTAAGAGTTACAAACTTCAACGTACCTGAATTAGCACTTTTTGGGGAATTCCTTGTTCTGGTTTTGTAACTTTACTTTTATGTTCACCAACTACTGGTTTGTTGTACACACACTGTCACACATAAAGGATCTTGTTATATATGTGTGTCTCCTTGCCAAGTGGTACTCCCAGCCCAGGAAAATTGCATGGTTTTCTGTTATTGATATTTTTACCCGTTTAACCATTTTTGTCGACCTCACCAGAAGAGCTGTTTTAGAGTAAGCCTAACAACGAATAAATTAATCTAATTGTTTAGGCTACTTTCATCTATATAGTTCGTTGTATAAATGTACCCAACATCTTCCTCGTTTTTTTATATATTCTATTTCCAGCTTTGTTTCTTTAGTATATCAGAACGTACAGTACAACATTATGAAACTTCTATTGTTTCCTGTTTGTAGAAGAGTCAGATTACCAATGACAAGACGCCTCCTTATATCATTCTTCTTTCTTGGGCTGACTGGGTAAGTTTAAGAAATCTGTACATTTACAGGTTGATCTTCTTAGTTACATTATCTTTCTGTGTATTGGTTCCACTAATGTGACTTCATCTGATCAATCTATATATTTCTGTGATTTCATTTTTTGGAATTTGGAATAGCATATTTGGGAACCAGCTTTTGTTTCTTATTGGCCTTGGCTACACAAATCCAACTTATGCTGCAGCCATACAACCTTCAATTCCGGTTTTCACATTCATATTGGCTATAACAATGGGGTCGGTTTGATCTTTTTTTACCATTCTTTAAATTACTTGATGCTTCTCTCTCTGTTGATTTGTCTGTCTGTCTTTAGCTCTTTGTGTGCATATATATATGGAAAAAAATATGTATATTAGTGTCATGCATTTTCAGTGTTGCTTGTCCAATATCACATGTGAACATTGTTAATGCAGTACAGAAACAGTGAATTTGTTCAGAATTGAAGGTCAGGCGAAGGTTGGAGGTACACTCTTATGTGTTTGCGGAGCCATATTAATGGTTTTGTTTAGAGGCCCAGTCTTGATTGGGTTTAAGGAATCAGAATTTGCAACACACAATGAAATAAGTGCCAGGGGTCAGCCAGAGCCTGCTGGATGGTTGATATCTAATTTTCTGGAGTTTGGGCTTGAACAGTGGCACCTTGGTGTCTTATGCTTGATAGGGAACTGTATGTGCATGGCCGCTTATCTAGCCATTCAGGTATTTGACTATTTATCTCAATTTTGCAGACATTGCTAACTGTGTTGATGAAATGGAAAGATATAGGAAATTTTAAATTCATAAAAATATTTTCTATGCTGTGAAAGGGCTCTAGGTAAATCTCAATTTGTAATTAACCAGTTGATTGAGTCTAAGAAGGATCATCAAATGAACAAATTAGCTCTTGAATTTAGGATAAGAGTTAGGTGAGAGAGTTAGAATTGTGAAAGTAGTATAATGAATTGACATGTTACGGTTGTGGAACACTTCTCAAAATGTCTTGCCTTCAAATTTATTGGAATCATCAGATGGGAGTTATCTCCAACTTCTTGTTATGAATTTAACAAGTGCCCCGTGTTCCAAGCTCATACCTTGTAACCCTCCTTGCCCCATTACGCATACTCCCAATTGTAAAACTGACCAACACCACATGTGACTCCATATTTATCCATGTTCTGGTAACTACTTATTCAGGTTCCTCATTTCTTGAATGCATAGGTTCTCCATGTAACTGCTAAAGCCAATTGTTTTCTTCATCTCTTTGCTGTTCCTAATGGTAGGTGGCTATTGCCACCTCTCAGCTTTGGACGCTTGTTCCATATTTCTTGTCCCCCCTTTTGTAACTATTGTACCCGACTTTCCCTATTTGGTGTCTCCCTTAAGCCAAGTCACATGTCCCTTTGTCAAACATATTTGCATAGTTTCTTATCACAACAATCACTCCTTCGATGTAGAACGGGGCATGGCCCAAGGGCTTGAAGAACACATGACCTGCACTTACTATTGGAGACGTGGAAAAGATAGATAGAAATCTCAGAACTACATATTTTTGTCCATTTATTATTATTATTTTGGGAATGTTTTATTTTAGGATATTTTAGTAATTTAATATTTTAATATTTAATTTTTGGTAGCAGAGGAATTGATTAGGGCTTTCTTAATTGCTTATAAATATGTGGATTGAGAATGCACTTTTTATGATTATTGAATATACTGAGATTACAGATTTCTTCCCCCTCATTCTTCTTCTTATCCCTCATTCTTCTTCTCTATTCTTTTCCTCTCTCTCATTCTTAGTCAGTTTTAATATTGCAGTACACCCCTATCTGTCCTGCATCACCTTCCCTACTAACAAACATGTTCTTGAGTCAGATACTTTTTTGATCCACGCGTGTAGGTCAAAAGGGAATCCCTTGTTTTCATTTATCGCTGAGCAAACTTTCTCCTAACGAAGTAGTACAAATCATAATTGGTGAATGTTAGCTTTCACCTTTGTAGTAGTCAAAGAAATGCCTTGAATTTGATGATTTGCCCGTCACCCATATCAATAACCCGCCATTTCAGGAATCTTCCGACTTTACAGCATGATTTTAGGCCGAAGAAGAAAAACCCCAAACCAATTTGTTCTTCCCTACTAACAAACATGTTCTTGATATCAGTCATTGACCTAGCCAAAATGTGTTAGCTTCTTTTAAATCAATTGTTGGCTGAGGCTTTTGTACTAATTGGCTCGCAAATCTTAAAGTAACTCGATTTCAGCAATTAATTTTCAATTGGCCAATACCTTGCCGAAGCATCTGATTGTGTTATCCTCCTCTCTGTTTAGTGCCTTTTGGGCTGTCTTATTGACTATTATTCTGCATTGGCTGATTGTGTCTCCATGTTGGGGTGCAAATATAAAGCATCTTTCACACTTCATAGTTTAATTGATTTGGAAGGTGTTTTTCTCCATTAAATTGTTCTGCACACAAGTTATGATTTTTCAGTTTACATGCTAATATAATCCTCATCTAAGCATTTGAACCTTTGTTTATTATCTGATCTGCCTTTCAGCATTACTTACCTTACATTACATTTTCTGAATCACAGAGAATTCATAATGATTTGGATGATATAGTAGCACTCGTGTGATTACTGCAAGAAATTTTAATTAAAACTTATTTTTTAATTGCAATTTGCTTGCATTTAAAATGGTGGAAATCAATTTATTAATCACGTATAAAAAATTAGTATGCCTTTTCTATGTTAAACAGCTAATGTTTGATGTTTGTAGAATTTGATCTATCACCATAAATTGATTCCAGGCTCCAGTCTTAGCGAAGTATCCCGCCAGCCTATCAGTGACAGCATATTCATATTTCTTTGGTGCTGTACTTATGGTAGCAACGGCATTCTTTACAACAAACGAATCAACGGACTGGAATCTGACCCAGTCCGAGCTCTTTGCTGTGTTCTATGCTGTAAGTGTCTTTTCTTTTCTTCTTTTCCCTTTCTTATCTCTTATTTATTTATCTAGCCTTTAAAAAGGAAAAAAAGGACATGAAGAGGTATATTCTCAAACTAAAACTCAGGTCCCGACAACCAATCAAATAAGAAACAGATTATGGATTTCATAAACTCTGATTCCTTAAGAGAACAACTTTTCATGTATGACTGAAACTAACAACCCCTTTCAATTAAAATATCTTCCCTGTGATATTCCGTTATGTTTGGATCCATGGATGGGGCTGAGCTAGTTTGACATGCCTTAAAGAGGCAATCAACTTTGGATAATAGTACAAATTTAGTTTGTAATAGAAGAGTGATCACAATTTTCATTTGCTAGCAGTTAAAACTTAAAAAAAGGCAAGCCTTAAAGCCACCAATAATTTTTAGAATATTACCTTTTAATGATGCCAAAACCGACGATTTAGTATCCTGCTAGCTGTAGACAAACTAAACCCGGTTTCTGTTCAAGAAGATGCCAGCTGGCTTTTTGATAAAGTCTCTAGGTAGTTGTACCAGTAACTTGGGAACACATGCCACCTTCATATTGGTTGTGTTTTTTTAGGCAGAGAAGGGCTACCTATATGTAGCGCAGCCATTAGATTAAAAAAGTTCCTTTTCCATGCTATATCTACCTATAGTCAAATCAAGGTTTCAAGTTGTTGAGCGGTGATTTAACATGAATAATTGGAAAAATACACAACTTAGTAATATGGAGAAACAAGCCCCAAGAGAAACGTAATAAACACAAATAAACTAACTAAAGTTTCCCATTCATGTTAAAATAAAAATAAATACCAGCTGTTGAACTAAAACCTAGGCATATAGATCAATAACAAACACTTTTTCTTTTCTTCTTTTTTTGGTTATATCTAAGTGAAAAATATATAATATTTAATCAAATTGAAATTACTGATTATTTAAAGTTTTGAAAGGTTTTGATTCAAAAATTCAGACTAAATCTTGTGAATCTTGAGCTTTTGCAGCTAGAGTGGAAAAGTGGAGTTGTTAAGCCTAGGTGCCAAACTTCTGTTATGATGCCATATTGGCCATACAGGCTGAGCAGCTCCTTATGGCCAAGTCTATAGTGAAAAAAACTTAGCATCGAAATATTAGTGTGACATGGACATTCCACGCTGCCAAGTGTTTTGAGCCGAGTGACAGTTTAACAGCCTAGGGCTTAAAGCCTTGTGATAATTTCTCATCAATGTATTTCTATTTTTCCTAGCTATTATTATTTGAATTTTTATTTTCATTTGTTTTTTTTATTCATTTCAAAAGGGTGTTTTGTTGTTAGTCTTTTGGGCCAATGTTGGATGTGCTCCCATAACCTTTGGAAGAAATTTTGGATTATGGTTATTCAGTTACTTAAGAGAGGAGTAACCATTTTACTTGAGTAAAATCAATGTGAATATGCATTATGTATTTGGACCAAGGCCATGTTGACAAATACTAGCTGGAAAGGTTTTTAGGTTAGTCGGAACTTGCTTGATTTAGGAAATTCATTTCCCTATCTTGGTGTCATGGATTTTATCCAAGTTGTATGGTAATTGTAACATGCTAGTTGTCTATTGTTCTTTTTTTTTCCCCCCTTCTAAGTAAAAGTACCATTAGAAAGAACTTAAGATAGTGCACTCATTCAAAAACCCTAAAGGCAGATATAGATTTTTTTTTTTTTTTTTTTTTTTTTTGTTGATAAGTAAAATTGTATAAAAGCGCTCAAAAGGGGAGCGGATCCCAAGAGAAGTACACAAGACCACAAAGGACCTCTAAGCCTTCAAAGAGGCCAAAAGATCAACAATCTCTTCTAAAGATCTATAATCTCTCCCTGAAACCCAACAAAAAAGAGTGGAAAGAATAGAGAATTTAAGAATAAAATCGACATCTCCTTCCCATCAAAATATCTCTTATTCCTTTCAAGCCAAATGCACCACCACACACACAGAGGCGTAGCCCTCCAAGCATCCCGAATGTGAGCCCCCACAAAGCAACCACTCCAGGCCTCAATCAACCCTCTAACTGATCTAGGCATGACCCATGGAAACCCAAACAAGCCAATCATCAAATCCCAGCAATCTGTAGCAATGGTGCAGTGTAAGGAGAAGATGATCCACTGTTTCTTCGTCGCGAAGGCACATATAGCAACGATTGACCACCACCTAATTTCTCCTTCTCAAGTTATCCTGTGTTAAAATCTTTCCCAGAACAGAGGACCACACAAAGAATGCCACCATAAGAGGAGCCTTTGAGCGCCAAACAGACTTCCAAGGAAAGTGATCTCTAGGTTTATCCGTGAGGCACCTGAAAAAGGACCTAACCTCGAAATGCCATTAAGAGTTAGCAACCCAAGACCAACAATTAGAATCCCCAGCCATAATCCTCTGGCGATACAACGACTCCAAGAAACGAATGGCATCCTCAATCTCCTAGTCCTGAAGCAATCGCCTGAATCAAACATCACACACCAGTCTCCCGTTATCAAGATGATAACAGTTGACCATTATGGCCTGCTTATCCATAGCAATCCTGAAAAGCTGGGGAAAGGCGAGAGCAAGAGGAAAATGTCCACACCAAACATCCTCCCAAAAACTAACCCTCCTACCATCCCCGAGTCGAAAACGGATATGTTTGTAAAAGTCATCCTAACACTTCCGAATGACCTTCCAAACCCCCACACCCCGAGGACCATGCACTTCCAGAGAACACCATCCTTCTCTAATCTCCCCAAACCGACTCGCCACGACCCTCATCCATAGCCCAATGTCTCTCCACTCCAAACCTGCGTAACCATTTCCTAAGGAGAGCCTTATTAAAAGGCACCAATCTTCTAAGACCCAAACCTCCACTCCGAATAGGTCTGCAAACATGCTCCCATCGAACCAGATGGAACTTGAACTCTTCCCCTCTACCACCCCACTGAAAATTACGCTACAATCTCTCAATCCTCTTCGCCACAAAAGAGGGAATCCGAAAAAGGGAGATAAAATAAGTGGGAAGGCATGAGAGAGTACTCTTAATCAGAGTGACCCAACCTCCCTTGGAGAGGTACTGCTTCTTTCATCCTGCCAATCTCCTCTCAAATCTATCCACCACAGGATCCTAAGCGCCCACACACCTCGAAGGAGCTCCCAGAGGCAACCCTAAGTAAGAGATGGGGAATGAACCAGTACAGCAACCAAGAATATAAAGGACCTTCCCCACCAGCACCAGAAGGCTCTTACCAACATTCACCTTGAGGTTGGAAACAACTTGGAACCAAAAGCCGAAAGCCACTCAAAGAAACCCATTTGCATCACAAAGAACTAACATATCTCCAACTGGGAAGCAGCATTCCTACCCACCCGAAAGCCACTCAAAAAACCCAGCTCAACAGCCCCACTCATCAATCTACTAAGGGCCTCCATGACAAACAGGAACAAAAAAGGGGAGAGCGGATCCCCCTGTCTCAAGCCCCTCGAACTAGTGGAAAAACCTGTAGGAGCAACATTCAGAAGAATCGAAAAGCGAGCACTGGAAATACAAAACTGGATCCATTTCCTCCACCGATCACCGAACCCCATCCTCTCCATTAGGTAAAGAAGGAGGCTCCAACTCACATGATCGTACGCCTTCTCAATGTCTTACACAGAACACTCGGGAGCCCACTGCGCAATCTGGAATCCACACTCGCTAGCAATGAAAGTGGCACTCAAACTCTTCTCAAAAGAGCCCTGAGCATGGAAAGCATGATAAATCAGCTAATCTTAACCAATAATAAGATATTACATGACCGATAACCAAACAAAACAACCTCGATATGTGAAATTATTACGTTATCCCTTTCTACCAACTAATGACGCATGTGAATATAAAAACTTGCTTTGCTCTTGCACCTGGCATTTATTGATATTAAGCATGGTAAAAGTGGATTTTTGGTGTTGTTTGTTACCTACTTAATAACTATCATGTGTGCCTACTTTAAAAAATATTTATTAGATGCTTTTGCTTAGAAAAAAGCTATCATGTGTGCCTCTTTGACCCAATAGCTGAGAGGGTGTGAACTCAGTGAGAGCATCCTCATGCTAGACTTGCTCTGATAATAATTATTATTATACTATATAAATAATGTCACTTTTTCATATACAATTAATTTAACTAATGTTACAAGTAGAATTAGATGAAAATAATTCACTAATGGGATAAAATTATTTTAGCAACACTAAATTCAGTGGGTAACCACATTTAGTTTCAAAGCTGCTTGGGAAGCAACTCGTTTCAGATTGCAGGAAGTGAATTGGGCTGGTTTGTGTTGGAGTGAGGGGAGGCCTAGGTGGTTAGTTCATGCGGTTTTGGTGATACAAAATGCCATCTTAACCCACTCTTACTTGCAGAGAAAAGGTTTTGCTTTGGTTTCTAGGTGCTTTCTTTGCAACAAGGAAGTGGAGAGTATTGATCACTTATTTTGCTGCTGTGAGTATACTAGAAAAGTATGGGACAATTTTGCAGAAATTTGTGTTTGGAATGTTCAAGAATGTAATGGGATATCTGAGTTGGCAGAGTTCTTTATTCAACAGTTTCAAGGGAAGGGGAGGAAGATGAAGATGGCAAGGATCTTGTTTGCAGCATCCTTATATTTTTTATGGGGTGAAAGGAATAATAGAATGCATAATGATAAAGTGAGAGAGTCTAAGGATTTAGCCAAGTGTATTCTTTGGGAGGTTCTTGATATCATGAGGGTATACCTTCAGGACATCCTGTAGATCTCTTTTTTATTGGCTTGTTTTGAGCGTTTGTCTACCCTTTCTAAGGGCATTGTTTTGTTTTGGTAAGGGTATTCCCTTATTTGTCTTTGTACTATATTGTTCATATATAAAAAAAACTCCTTCATTTAGGAAAAAAAAAAAAAAAAATTACATCAAAAAAATAAAAAATAAATTTTGCATTAAGCACTTGAGTATGATTATTAATTGTTAGTTTAATTTAATTTCAATTCAAATTGGCGTTTGTTGGTGGCTAATATGGATGGATCTCATTTAAAATTGGATCAGGTTTGGGTCGGTCTGAACTAAACTTAGAGATGAAATGTCAATTGCTGTCCTCAGATTTCAAGATAGGATCCTTGGCCTGCCAAAACATTAGAATTGTACCATACTGGTTATGTTTGTTCCTTTTCTTTTTCTTTCCCCCTTTAAGTATAACTGTAAAAGTATTATTAGAAAGCACTTAATACTTAAGAGAGTGTTCTCATTACATGATGTATACACATCATACCTATACAAAATTATACCATTATATCTTTCAGAAATATACAAAAGAACCAAAATCAAACTAAAAGGAGCATCTGATGATCCAAAAGAAAGAACCAAAATCAAACTAAAAAGAGCATCCGATAATCCAAAAAAAAAAAAAAAGATGGATCTCAAAATCATAAGTTATTAGTCAAGGTAGACAATTCCACTCCACTGGAAAAAAAATTTCTTCTTACTCCAGACACACCACCATTGACAAAACAAAGCCGCCATCAAACTGCTTAAGCTCTCCACAGCACTACACAACCTTGCTAGCCGGCAAGTTCGTCCCTCGTCTAATCTAGAGATCATCCAATGAACTCTAAAAACTGATAACAAAAGAGGCCAGAGATCTGTGTCCATTGGATAAAGCAACGACAAAAAACCATTTCTTTATCCCTATTGCACATGCAGTGCCAATTAACTACAATTTTATCCTTCTTCAGTAAGTATGGGTACATTGAGTGTGAGAATGGGATCACAATTCCTAATATCTGATTCTTGAAATTCAAACATGGCCTTAAGATACCAAAGTCTAGGAAATATATATGCGTGTGTGTGTGTGCGTGCGTGCATGTGTGTGTGTGTGTGTTTATTTTTTCAGAATGTAAGTCTAGGAAAGATATTAGCCAAAACATAACTAGTCATAATTATTTGGGGAGGGGGGGATGTCTTTGGCTAGAAAAGAAGACCAGCCACTTGCTTTCTGACCTGACAAGAAACTTAACACTTGACCATAAATAATTGATACTTTTATGGAAAAGGATCTATTTAACAAAGTAAAATTCAGAGGAACATTACTGTGGTTTCTCAGATATGTGTTATTCTTCAACAGAAAGGAATTATAGGTTTGACAAGAATTATCACATTAACACTTTTGAAGACACTGTCAGAAGGTTGTTTTATGCGTATGAACATGCATAATCTATGGATTTAAAAAAAGAAAAAAATAAAAGATGTTTGTTTGGAAGCAAACACATGCTTTAGGCCAAAAAGAACTTTATAGATCGAAAGTCGCAACCTACACACGATTGATCACTTTTCATGGCCTACCTATTACCTGGGTATGGCTTAATAGATTGATAGAAGTGAATTGCATTTATAACCCTGTTCAAAAGATTATACTGGTTTGGCGGCATGCCTATTTCAGGTTTCATGTATTGATAACTTTGCAATTGCAGTTTCAGTAGAATCAACATAATGCGAAAATCTAATATTGACTGAAATTTTATATGTAAACATATGTGTCTAGATGTTGGTATAAAATGTTTAACTGCAAGTTACATGTAAATATATTCCTGTACATATATTTGTATCTCTCGTAATTAATGGTCGATTGCAAATTTATATGCAAATATATGTATGGATCTCTCGTTTATATTCTGATTTTACCTTGCACTTGTGATTTATATTAAATTATGAGAACTGGTAGTTTTCAGTTAAAAAATCAATATGTATTGACGGGAAAAAAAGTTGGATATAAGTTTTGTACACTTCATGTTTGATTTTCAGGGAATTGTTGCATCTGCCCTAAACTATGGACTCCTGACATGGTCCAATAAGATCCTGGGACCTGCTTTGGTTGCTCTTTACAATCCACTTCAACCTGCTGCATCTGCTTTACTGTCAAGAGTTTTCCTTGGAAGTCCTATTTATATGGGAAGGTTTTATTCTAAACACTTTTGACTACATTTACGTGCACTAATAAACACCTCAACTACATTTACACACACTTGACTGCTTTACTTGTTAATGGTCGAGAAGATAATAATGTATGTAGATATGCAGCATTTTGCTCAAATTGATAAATATGTATTCCTATTGGTAATGCTTTTTTTGAATTTAAACTCCAATTGGAGAAGTATTCTTAATTTCATCAGAACCATTGTCTTCTGGAGTAACAGTTTTGTCTAATTTGCATCTGAAGCAGCATTTTGGGGGGATCTTTAATTATCGGAGGGCTTTACATGGTCACTTGGGCATCCTATCGGGAACGACAGGCAGCTATGGGGATTATTCCTCGGTCATCCGACCCGCTCATTCACAAGGACTCATCTCTCAACAAGATTCCATACCAGATAGGTCATATTTTCTCAGGGCCCATTGCCTCGATACCGAAGATCATGGATTAAGCAAAACAAATGATGAATGTCACAGTATAATCCTCATAACAGTTTTTTTTTTAGTTGGACATTGTTGAGATAAATGTAATACCCTCCATCATGACTCATCTTTTCAATGTCTCTTGCAGATGTCAATTTAGAAAGTAATCTCAATCATATTTTGTGTTAAGCTTTTCATCACTATACTTTCTTTTTTCGTTTTTTTGCCTTAATTTTATACATTATCATACTCTATGTAAGCTATTATTTCTTTAGCTTTACATTAGCAGCAATCTGCAATCAGCTGCTTTGGATGAGATACATTTAACAGAGAATCAATAGACATTGAGAAACCTAAAGGTAAATGAATTGGTTCATATACAAGCAGCTGAGCGTGGAAGTCAAAAGCCAGATTCTGAGGCAGCATAAATTGGTGAGATATTCTTACCATTTCTACTTTTAGTTCATTATTTTGTACCTAAACAAACTCTAATAAAAACGAGGAAAAGTGGAAAACCAAGGAAAAACTCGTTTGGTGGCACGCTTTGGATTTGGAGTGGGAGAAAATTGAGTACAAATTTTAAACTAAACTCATTATAATCCCGAATTTAAAATACCAGTTCGATACTTCCAAACATGTGGTCTGTTTTTTGGGTGGGGGCGATATTTCAACTACTATGATGTAAACGCACTGTTGGATATTTTAGTTGGGAAAAAAAATCACCATTGTTGCATTTAAGACTCGTAAGCAGTGTCAAGGATTCAGGAAATCAAGGAATTGGGCCACCAGAGATGCGATGGAGAAAGAAATAGTAGTGTCTTTAAACTCAACCACCAAACCTAATAATAGCCTACTTTTATCCACACTTAACATGTATAGATGAATAATTTTGTTTGGTTGCAACTTGCAGTGAGCTGAAAAAAAGTTAGCACCACAGCTGAGTTTGTGGTTACTTGCAGTTGGATTGTATTCGTATCCACATGTTTTGGGGTTAGGAATGTATTATATCAACGCGGACAAACAACTGGCCCCATTTTGAATCATCTAGTTGGGCTATCAAATCAGTCGGCCAAACGGTTGGATTGTTTGGTTCAAAGCCTACTTCTACGAGTGAAGTACGATACATATCATATAGACAATGTCACATCTTTCATTATCAATATAATATTATTTTATATTTTGAATGGTGAATTTCTTTACTTTATTGGTAAATTGAAATTTGTAAAACATCACTATGATCATCAGAGTGGTATAATTCTCCATTTAAAGGGTTGAAATTACAAAGTAAATGCTAGAGTAAGAAAAATGTTTGTCCACGACCCAAAATGATGGGCAAGAGTCCTTTTGCTAAGTAAGTGAGGGAGAGTAACATTTTCAATGCAAAATATTATTTTTTTCATTTTAATAGTGCATTTTATTAATTCATTCAAAGTGCTATTATATTTTAGCAATTTTGCTCCAATTATGCTGACACTCTAACCATTACTTTCCTTATTTTAATCAATGTATTATTTTTACTTTTCCACATGACTTTCCCGTCCTTGTCTTGCACAAATATCCAAAAAAAGGGTATAGCATCTTAAATTCACTTATAACAATCTGCCATATATAAAAAAAGTTTTGAGAATTTCATATTTTGAGAGATTGTATAGTATATTATTGAAGTGTATCAGAAAATAAAATTTTCTATATTTTAAGTTTGAGAAGACATGTGAGAGAGCGTTCAAGGAAAATAATACGGTATATTTTAGAAATGATGTGCACGCTACTTGGAAAAGCAATATGCGCTGAGATGCAGCCAAGGATCTGTAATGCATGGTGTCCTGAGATGCAGCCAAGAGCGGTGTAAGGAAAATATCTTGGCCTAGATTCCTTCCTATCGAGTTATAATGGGACCGAGCACTCAGATTTTTAAGCTATTTAGTGGCCTATGTCGAACCACCACTAAAATCAATATTCTTCTTTGTGATTAAGCAACTGCTTCACTACAAATTTAAATATTAATAATAATAATAATAATAATAATAATAATTCATTCCATCCAATTAATTCACCAGCATTGATGAACCATTTTTGCGACATCCCAAGCTCAAAATAAGATCCTTCGTACCACAATTGGCGCCTCAATTCAATTCAAAATGCATGATGACAATTGCCTCCCAATGGTTTGTCCATTGTCTCAAACAACGATAATATATATATATATATATATATATATATATATATATATATATATTTCAAGTTAATAGGGACAAAACTAGAACATACTAAAATTCTAGATGTTTAAATTTTAGTGGAGGCGAGCATCGATGGCTGCGTCCATTCTTCAGTATCGATGACTCCGTCCATGGTCTGAATCAATATCAATGTCACAATGTGTATATTTTTAGATTCTTACGAATTTAAATTTCTTATTGGAGTAGGATTGTCCAAGAGTTGAATAAAATGAATTTTCCAAACAAAATAATTTAATGACAGAAATCTAATCGAATTGGCAGTTTAAGACATACCACAAGAATGTCTAGTCCAGCTAGTATCTCCTACCCCATTTGCTTAAAAAGCTGGTATATTGTTCTTGGGTCAGTTTGTGGGATATATCGAAATTGAAACCATCTTAATGGATAAGGATTCTTTTCAGAAAACGAAAGATCATGTACACTCACCAACTATTGATATGATATTATTATTCGTGAAAAAAATTTCAAAAATATTAAATACAAATTGAACCAAACTGTTAAGGTTAATAAATGCGAACCAAATTGAATTAAACCATAAATGATCACTTTTGGTTGGGTTTAGTTTTGGGTGTTTTTATATATATACAGACACATTTTTAAGTTAAAGTGTTAATTAGACTGGCACTCCTTCAAGTTAGGTCTAATATCATGAACATTTTGGTATTTGAAAAAATGGATCTGCGTTTTACTTACACTCCAAATGTCATTTTTGTGTAGTGTCAAAACACTTTTTACGTGTAAAATAACAATACTACCCTTTTAATTTTGTGTTGACCTTGATTCATGTATAAAATGACTTAACTATCCCGAAGAGACCTATTTTAAATTACCAAAATATCTTAAAATTTAACTCTCTTATTCTTTAATTAAATGTGTGTCTATATATATATATATATATATATATATATATAACTTGACCAATAAAAAATATGTATGTATATATGTTAGTAATTTCTATATAAAATTTAGGGCATATAAAAAATCCAATTCCTCTTTTTTGCAGTGACGATTCCCTCTTCTTTTACCTTCTCAACTGTCAACAATAAACCAAATTTCAAGTCCAAGCATGTAAACAACCCATGTTTGGGACTTTGACAGAGGAGAGAGAGAGAGATTTGGGTGTGTGGGTTTTGTATATTAAATAGGGGCATTTTTGTTATTTAAGATTATAGATATTTTGTATTAAATTGTAAGCAAAAGAGTAAAAAAAAACCCCTCAAACTATCAAATTGTTTGAGGGGAAATTATTCCTTGAACTATCAAAAGTAAGCAAAATGTCCCCTTAAAGGCTACCGGAAGTTAGTTTCTGACCAACTGAAGAGCACAATTACTAATTTATCCTTAATTTTTAATTTATTATAAAAAATCAAAATATATGCTATTATGAAATGACCACTGTAATGAACCAAAAACAAAAATTCGACATGACCTTTGCTGAAAAATCCCTACTACAACCTGTTTAATACATATGAAATGCAATGGCCTCACTTGGACTTTTAAAACTAAACAACAAACTTCAATCCAAAATCTACAACATTAACACCATTATCAAAAGAGTTCATCATCATCATCCCATTCATCCAAAACATAGAAATACCTGTCTTATACATAGTCTCATGCTCACATTGGTATCAGAGTCCGGTTCGACCATTATCCTATGTATTGTAGACTTTATAGTGTATGGTATATTATATTTTAGAGTAATAATATTTAGAAATATTTATCTGACCGACTACGAGGTCTGGCACATGGATTGTAGACTTTGTAGTGTATGGGAGATTATATTTTAGAGTGATATTTAGAAATATTTGTCTAAACGATGACCATGAGGCCTGGTACATGGGGTTTTTATCTATTTGGTGTAGTAATAATCTCTAGTGTGAGACCTATTGTAATGGGTGGGCGCTTGCCCATTTACTCAAAAACTCAAACTATTAGATAATAGTGCATACCCACCCAGTTATACCCAATCACTTTCTCAACCGGATTCGATGTGAGACAAATGACCCTTATTACATTCTCCCCCACCCAAACTCGCAATGCCCTCATTACAGCTCGGGCCACCCTGCCTACCCGAAGTATTCACCCGGATGCCTTTCGGGCCGGGTGCTTGGCGTGCCACCGGATCAAGAATTAGGTCTGGCTCTGATACCAACTGTAACGGGTGGGCGCTTGCCCATTTATCGAAAAGGTCAAGCTGTTGACTAATGTTACATACCCACCCATTTATGTCCAATCACTTTCCTAATCGGATCTGATGTGGGACAAATGACCCTTGTTACACTTATTCACTAAATAAAAGGGAAGGGACTGAACCCCTTTGCCATACAAATAAGTCTAAAAATTTGGCATAAGAATCATTTTCCTATATTTTATACCAACAAAAGGAAAACATTTGTATATATATGATATAAACAACAAAAACAAGCCTTTTTTCAAACTATTTAGGGTTGACTACAAGAATTCTATGTTTTTATTCGATTCAATTTAAAGCCATAAGCTCATAGCCATAGTCAAACCACGTGTTATCATCGTATCCATTTCGATAATGTCTATCGTTATCCTATTTTTGTGCCTAACCTTACATCTATCTTGATTTTTTCAACTATCAAATATGTCCGGTATATGCCGACTCCTTTAGTTTTATACTAAGTCACATAAAGTGTGAGCGAATGCGAGAGCAGGGGCGTGAGAGCGGTAGAATTAAATAATAAATAATATGAAATTGAGTCAGAATACGCGCGGAACATGAAAACGAAAACATACTCAAAATGTGATAACGACACTCGTTAAAAAGGAGTGTCTGATGCAGATATCAATGCAACCCGCATGTTTTGACTAAAATGTCCTGCTTAAAAATTTTTGGGCATTACATCCTTGGAAAAAAAGTCAACTTTCTTAAATTGAAGGTACTTGTATCCTTTTCTGTCCAATTTCTATATCTCCTCTTCCTTTGTCTCTTCCTAAAAAAGAAAAATAAAATATATAGTGTGCATACATAAACACAATATATCCTCAGCTCGAGTCCAATATATAGCGTAGAGTGTAAGATAGTGAAAACTGATCACTGTAGAACAAGGATAGTTCCAGACTCCACAACACCCACTGCGAGAGCAAAGGCCATGTACCCTTCATTATGTGGAAAAACTCACCTCTGTCCTTTTCATAGTTGGTGTCAGGGGAGTGGATGGTTTGGACATTTTCCACACACTGACACTGTGACACACACATTATATATAGATAAGCTGCAAATAACTTCACTAATCATAGCTTTCATTTTTGCATATGGACTACCTTCAAAATGCATTAACTTTCAAGTATTTACACAGGAACAATCACTCGACAATTACAGAGTGGATTCAAAAGAGACACAGTATAAGTGTTACATTAATGCATGTAACGACGAGGATCGATACTCTATTCATTGAATTTGTAGCGGAAATTATTTTTACCTGGAGTAGGATTCACCTGACCCACTATAATTTTTGTTTCTTAGTTTCCAAATTTAATTAGATTAAAAATAATTATTCTATTAATACATAGGATAAATAGGCATAAGATTTGTGCCCCATTTGATAGGAGGGATGAAAATTTTGATAGAAGGGAGAGGGGGAGGGATGAATGAGGCATCCCTAGAGAATAGATGAAGTCACTCTCATTTTATTTGGTTAGATGAAAATGACGAACAATGTGACACCTTATATAGTTTGACTGTAAGAATTAGAAGAAGCTAAAAATGATATTTTATATTTATAAATTAATTTTTCTGTCTTTTTCTTCTCCTTTTCTTTCAATTTTGGACACTGAAAAAACGCAAGTTAGGAAAAATTCTTCATCCCTCGTGCTTCATGCTCTTTTCGCTTTCTTCTGATCAAACAAAAAAAGGTTCTTTTATCTCACCACTCTTCCATACTACCTTAATTCTTCCTTCCAACCAAATGTATTAGCAGATCAACCTACATGAGTTCTTAGTTGCAGGTCTGATCAACCCTTTCTATGTCCTCAATTAATGTATACATTCGACAATTACGTTCTTAAATTTTGTACTTTAGGTGGGGGCTACCTGTGTCTTTTTGTACTTTAGGTGGGTCTTAAAGGTAAACAAATAAATGAGAATTGAGAAGGGTAAAAATACCAAAATCCATAAATGAATTCAGTACTTTGTACTTTGTTTGTGTTTGACACCAAAAAGAATACTGAGTATACTTTGTATAACAAACTGCCTTCGACATACTTCATGTGGAAGTTGCATCACCTCACGTGCATTGGTATAATTTAAAGTGGTCATTTGCCTTTTGCCTTGGATCAGCATAAAGGGCTGAAAAGATCAGCATAAGCGGCTTGAAGCAATCACTTAGTGCAATTAGGGATGGCAATAAGGCTAGAATTTCATTTCACATTCCCATCTTCATTCTCATTTAATTTTTTCACCCTCATAAACCATTGAGTTTTTCAAAACAGCCCACATCCTCGTCCCCATTTACACAATCAATTTTTCAAAACCATCGCAAACGTGACATGGAGGAGCAACCCTCCCCCGAAATCGCCCTAAAACCCACCGGCTTTTTCAAAGTAGCCTCCTTTCCCGTCACCATTTACATAATCGGTTCTTCAAACCTGTCCCAAATGGGACGGGGTAGGGTGAGAATTTTTGTCATCCTTAAAATATCCTCGTTTACTTTAAAGTTATCATGGACCTTTTGGTATCTTCTCTATCTTTTTAGGTTTAAATTTCTAAAGGGACAAAGTGAGTGTGTAATGATAGAAAACTATCCAATATGTCCTAGAGAAAAGAAGAAAAATAAAAAAGGAAAAAGAAAAAGAGAAAGAAATAAAGGAGAAGACAAAACTATCCTTTGGACCTATCATATTCCTTTTGATATGTATCAATTATACCAAAGATTGTATCTTTTGGTTCAAATTAAAAATAATATAAATTGAAACTCTCTTTTATTTATGCAGATATGCGTCTTCACCAAGATGAGTTTGAAGCAAGAAAATTAAAAGGTCGGTATAAAGGACAGTGTGGGGTTTGGCATTAAGTTGATGTTGCAACCAATATGGTTTATAAAAATAATTCTATGTATCACAAAGATAGAGGCAATAAAAATGCAATATTCTAATTCTTGCGAATTCCCCTTAATGTATATAATTCTTTCTAATTTTTATATATGTTACAATGTGATATTGATTTTACATTATACTACCTTTTACAATGCAATTACAATCACAAATCAATGCATGTGAAAACTACATTGATAACTACATATCTTTTCCTTTCACATTTTTCTTGTGCAGTCGTTGTAGAGTAGTATGATATATGCCACTTTGTGCGCTGTTTGTGGTGGTTGTGTTACAGCTTGTTGAGGTCCCTTTCTCTAATAAAGAGCCCATGGAACCCATAAGGCACCCTGCGTGGCAGCCTGACAGCAGCCACAATGTCAAGATTAGGTGACTTAGCATCCATCACCAAGAACTTGGACTCTCCCGCGTTCTCGTCGTGCACGTAGGTCACCAGATACCCGTCGTCCTCTTCCGCCTCCGGGTTCTCCGGCTCCCTCGCCACGAAGAAGGGCTCGCCCCCGTAGCATCCCGGCCCAAACATCCGGCTGGCCACCGTGCAATCTCGCCGGTCTCCTTCAGACACCGATACATCCAGCTTCACCACTCCACTTATCTTGGGCATTGGATCACCTATTGCTGCATACACATACCTGCATATATTGCAACACTTTCAATTCTCCAATTACGTACTTTCACGGTACATTTGACTTTCGAAAGTCATTTTTCTTGGATCCGCCCTCCAAAATTGGAAATACTGTTGTTTTGATTTTGACTTTGGAGAGCAAAGTTTTTTCATTTGAGTCGTGGTAGCAAAATTTAGTGGAAAATTTTGACTAATTTTATGTAGGTGAAGATTCAAGACAGACAAATAATGTTACTGACATCATCATAACCTCTGCTCCACTTACATCAAACAATCTCGACTCTAAAACTATTTTCCTTCTCATTTTCTTAACAACACAAGTTACACAACTAACAAACAATTCATGTTTGTCAGTTGAATTTTTTACCATTTCACTAGCAATGACCCTACCACAGATTTTACACCGTTTTAGACTTTAGATTGGTGACAATTTGAAATCACGTAAATTTGTAAATTAACATGAATTGGATTTTGAATGCAAAAATTGCAAGCCGTTAATTGATGTATGTACCTGTTCTTCTTCCCCACATAGGCCGGATTTATGACTGCAAAGTCCAAATTCCTCGCCGACACCGGATGTCTCGACACCATCCCGGTTTTCAGATCAATTCTCACCTTCTCCACTGATGCATGGATCAAGTCCATACGCTCCAACGTGTGTTCCACCGACAATATATTTGGCGCCACCATCACCACTGCATCGCCACCATCCTCATCCCACGCATTAATGGCATGTATAATATTAAACCCGGGAACATCAAACCACTTCATCTGAGACTCATCCTTGGCGTATCTCGGGATCACCCCGAGCCTCGGCACCTTCCCTGGATCCGTCCCCACCGGGGACCCACCTCCCATTATCATTTCCATTGGATCCATTCCTATCTGTATGTCTGCAAACACCGCGTGCTTCTTGGTAATCGCGAAATCATGCAGAAACGATGGCCGTGTCATAGAAAAGATGGGTATGTCAGGCTGTTTGTTTCCGTCCGCATCGAACCGGAAGAAGGTTAGAAAAGGCGGCACCGGGCCGTACCTGAAAGCGAAGGCCTCGCCGGATTCCGGGTCGATTTTGGGGTGTGCTGTCATGCTCATGAAAAGCTCGCCGTTGAAGTCACGGCGACCTAGGGTTAGTATATCTCCGTCCGGCGATAGTTTGATGGCGTAAGGGAGGTCGGACTCGCCGAGGGCGTAGAGAGTGTCTCCGAAGAAGGCTAAGCTGGTGTTGGCGAGGCCAATGCCATTGGTGGGGTTGAATTGTCCGGCGAGAGCTCTTGCGGCGGTGAGTGTCCCGCGGGCTGCGGAGGCGGTGAGGCCGTTGAAGCCGGAGAAGACGTTGGGGATGACAGGAGAGCCGGTTTGGCTTTCGACGGTGTACTTGTAGGTCTTGACGTAGCGGCTGCAGAGGGTAGCGCGGCCGCCGGATATTCGGATGGAGTGGAGCATGCCATCACCGTCGAAGAGGTGGTAAGGTCCCTTGGGGAGGAACTGCGGGTTGGGGCCGTTGCGGATGTAGGCGCCGTCAAGGCACGGCGGGAGGGAACCCTCGATCACCTCGCACTCTGTCGGCGGGAGCTCTTTGACGGGGGCGAAGTTGCCGGAGAGGACGTACCTCGGGTCGACGGAGGATTTGATAGGAGGGTCGATGAATTTGTTGATTATGTCGTCGAATGCGTCGAAGATGGTCGCCGGCAGGGACGGCTCCACCCGCTTCCAAGCCGGTGGCCGCGGTGGCGCTGCTGTTGTAATTGGATCAGAGGATTTTCTGGGATATGATGATGATGGGTTTTGCTTATTTAATGTTTTCTGAGACTCTGTTCTTGTTGTGGTGGTGGTGGTGGTGGTGGGTGGTTTTTCTTCGATTCTGACGGAGGAGATGGTGAGGAATAAAGGAACATGCTGTGGTTGTGGCAATGTTAGAGATAGCTTTGGATGTAATAACGGAGACATGAAGGAGGAAGAGAGGGAATCCATTATTGTGTGCTTTTTTCTCTGCCTTAATTGCAGAGAAAAAGAACACAAAGATTGTGCAGTGGCTTGTGTTTATGGCGTTTGAGAGGAAAGTGAGGAAGACACTTATAGAGTGGCCCTCATCCAAGATACTAATAGTCTGATGCGACACCTCTTCATTGTTGCATGGCATTTGAGGATTGTATATTACAAGGATAATACTTAGCTACTCACTTCTCATGTGTTTCAATGATAATATACCATATAAGTTTTAATAATCAAATAATTCACGTTCTCTGTCTTATCTCAGATCAATCATTAAATAACTTTCAACCGTTAAATAACTTTTTTATTAAAGCTGATGTGGTATGTTATTATTGGAATACGTAAGGGGTGAGTGAAGCAACTCACCGGTGAGTAGTTAAGTATTATCCATATCACAATTTTTCATGGACAATACTTACATCCAACCCTGGTTGGATGAAGTTTGTCCAACCTGAATACGTGGCCCAATAAATGCATGACAAGTGTCCTTTAGTCCCTATTCATCTAAGGTGGATATTACCCAACTGAAATGGGTTTCTCCGGTAGAACATGCTTTTATTTTTTTATTTATTTTTTTGCTCTGCACTCCCTTTGCTCTCTCTCCAACTGTCCTAGTTTTCTTGTTTTGCCCTCTTTCTCTCAAGACGAAGATGATGCATAGTTTTCTCTTTTTGTTCTATTCTCGTTCAGCCTCCATCTCTATTCTCATTCTCAACTCTGAACTTGCCCTCTCTCTCTCTGCAACCGCAAACTACAAAATCTACAAGAATCAGAAGTTCAAAATTCATATTTAACCAATTTACCACTCAGTACCCTATTTGGATAATTAATAAAAAAAAAAAAAAAGAAAAAAAAAAAGGGTAAAGTGCAAAAAACCCCCTTCAACTATTAACTATGTGCAATTAACTCCCCTGAACTACAATTTGCCTCCTTGAACTATTGAATTTGGTGCAATTAACCCCAATGTGACATCTTCGGCCAATTGGTGTAAACGGAAATAATAAAAGATAATTTTACCCCTTATATAAAACTACGTTAGATTTTCCGGTCACTTTTCTCTCTCTAAAACATATGTTCTCTTTTGTTCACAACCAATTAAGCTTTGATCTTTAATGAGTTTACTCTGAAATAGAGATTCAGGGGAGAAAGAAAGAAGAGATTTTTTTTTTTTTTTTTCCTTATATATCATCTCCAGGACCACCGCAAATAAGTAAACCCAAGAGCGGTAAGAAAAGACATCACATGTGAACAACACTTCTTAAAGCAAGTAATATGTGTAAACATGCAATGAAACCCATCACAGTCGCAGCTGCTTTAGGTGAAGGAGGCGGCAAGGGAGGGAACTCAAAAGGAAGATTTGGACATTAGGGAGCATTGTGAAAAAGATTCTACAAAATAAGGGCTTTCAATCCATCAAGGCATGTGCTCTTTAGGCATATACTGACTCTGCCATTGGCTAGGAGGATGAACTTTTATCTTTCAAGTAGATGACTAAGTATTGTTCCTTCTTAATTAGTGCACTAGTTTAATCAAATCAATGTCAAAGGAATAGTTTGAAAAAATTATTAAAAATAGTACAATCTATTTTAAAAATAAAACATGTATTTTATGTCATTTCAAAATAAAAATTTTGAGAGGGAGTGAATACATCTTTTAATGAACTTACATGACTACTTAAGACCCTGTTTAGGAAGTGTTCCCAAGTGTTGTGTATTGCTCCCGGGCCGCTACAGTAGCCCATTTTGAGTCCACATGTTGTTTGGCCTGCCTTATTGTGTTCTCAACAGTAGTGGAACAATTCAACATTTTCAGCCCAATGTTGAAACAACATTTTTGTGTTCCAGTTTGTTCCAACAATAGTTGGGCTAGAATTTCACTGTAGTGGTGAAAACAATTAAACTTTAGCGGACAAAACAATGGCCCAAATGTAGTACAGGTTTATATACGAATTGCAACACTTTCTAGGGTTTGTTACGCAATCTATTGAGGCGATTCGGCTGTTGTTGCGTTCTTGGTGAAAGGGACTACAAATCTGTTGCTTTTTTCTTCAAATCGCCCAACAAAGTTTGGTTTTTTCTTGCGTTCTTGGTGAATCTAAGGTTTGTTCCGCGATCTCTTGAGGCGATTTGGAGGCGATTCGGCTGTTCTTGCGTTCTTGGCAAAAGGGACTACAAATCTGTTGCTTTTTTCTTCAAATCGCCCAACAAAGTTTGTTATTTCATGACTTCCAAACTTTTCTAGGGTGTTTCTTCCGCGATCTCTTCAGGCGATTTGGAGGTGATTCGATTGTTCTTGCGTTCTTGGTGAAAGGGACTACAAATCTATAGATTTTTTCTTCAAATCACCCAACAAAGTTTGTTATTTCGGTGTTTTCGTCGCATAACAGCGCAGGTTAGAACCATTTTCGCTTCTTTTGTTCGATTTAGTTGGAGTTCGCATTTCGTGTTCAATTTTTTTTTAGTTTTTTGCTTACAAAGAATTATAGTAGGGGTGACGGGCCACCTTATGCATATGGAAGGGGTCGAATAAATCTTTATACGGCTGGAATTTCAAAGAATTATGGACGTTCATTCTATAGATGTCTAGCTTGGGAGGTATACAATTTTATTTGCATTAATAATTTTTTTTTAGTACATCTTAGTGTCACATGTGCATTTTAATAATATACAAATCTTTGATGTTTTAGTCACATGCTCGTGCATTTATATGATTGGATGACATGCACCAACGTCTGCAAGTGGGTGGTCATGTGGAGGAAGAGTTGAAGGATGTAGTTGCTGTTATGCAAGCTCAACAAAATTGGCAAAACTACATTATCTATTGTTGATGTTGTTGTCTTGCTATAACTATATTATTTATGTTGTTGCTCATGTTGTTATTGTTGATTATTGTAACTGTTGATAAATGATGTAATATATTAGTTTAATTTTATTTCATGAACTTTTATTGTATCTGTTGACAAATGATATAATATTTATGAAACTCGTGTCTGTAATATATTAAATTTCATGTATGTGTAATATGTTGAAAGCTTATTTCAGTTCGATATTGAAATAATGTGTTCTACAACTGTCAAAACAATATGCAGCATTAATAGGTTTTATAATTTAGAATATGTTTTATTGATTTTTATAATAAACTAAGATAAATTTTTAACAATATATATATATATATATCAAAAGTTATATCAATTGTATATTAAAATTATACAATAATTAATTTTTACTTTATATTTAATAAAGTTATAAATAATGTATTGATGAAAACATTATTTAAAAACATTTTTTACCAAACATATTTCGTGTTTTTTTTTTTTTTTTTTTTTTTTACTGATTTTGGTTACACTTTCACCCTGCCAAACATATTTTATTCACATATTTCTTGAAACGAAATACCTTGCCAAACATGTTCTACCATGTTTTTGTTCCAAAAATCTCACCACAAATTTTCGTCGCCAAATATATTTTGTTCTCATTTCAGAACACTACATTACAAAATACTTATTCTGTATTAAATTAGAGCATTACCCTACAAAACATAACACTTTCCAAACAGGCCTTAAGTTTCCGTCACACGAGTTACCTGCTTTAGGATTGGTAAGAAAGCTTGTGGGGTCGAATTTTTCTTTTTGTCCTTTTTAAAGATTTTTTCTTTCTTAGGTAAAATACACACACGCAATAGAAGTACGGAAACAACTACAAAATGGTGCCAAATTTTAGTCAAAATGTGAAGTTGGAATCCCTCACCTCTCTTTTGAAGAAAGAGGTGTTATCCTAGCTAACGTAATGATTCAGTGATTAATTTACTGTTCTTGTTATTTGCTTAGTTTTTTTTTTTTTTTTTGGCACCATAATGGATTAGTTTTATTTATTTATTTATTACTTTCTCTGTTTAAAAATAAGTGTCATACTTTTTTTTTTGTCTGTTCTAAAATAAATGTTCATTTTTCTTTTTCAAAAAATATATTTCACATCTTTTCATATATATTTTTTAAGTTTAAAATTTCAAATTTGAATATTCAAAACATAAAAAGGTGTTAATAACTTTTTAAAAAGACAATGCATGTCTTACGTGTCTTATAAAAATTAAGCTGATACTTAAATTGAGACGAATAGAGTATTGTTTAAAGAAGATAAGACTGTAAAATTATATGAAATGGTTGAAGTTTAAGAATGACAATAGTCACGTCACTCTATATCAATTTTGTGTAAATTATTTTTTTTTTGTATGAAATGATCACAATTTAATTATTATGTTATAATCAATTTTTCTTTTTCCAAAACAAAAGTAATCCCTTCTAGGACACTTAAAACTTGTAATGAGCGGATAAAGACCGCTCAAGTGAGCTCCACCCAAAATATGTGCATTATTACACCACCATTTCAGAGATGGAAACGATGTGAGATAAAGTAGGTCCCACTTGCTCATATGGAATACACCGTATGTATGGTGTTTTGTGTGGTGTGCACCTGGCTTGACCCCACCCCCCAGAATACCGAAGAGTAAATTAGCATGCCATGCGTCCATTACTATCTTAGCCAGTGTGGCCGTGTGGGGTTACCGTATGTAGGACCGCTATTGGAATTGTCCCCCTACTCACCCGATTTTTTTTTCTGTGAGTGATTGAATATTTCGACTGTCCCAATAAATGTTTTTTTTATTTATTTAAATAATGACATCTTATTGGATTGTTTGGAGAGAGATATACGAGTAGTTCTACAAACGTGTAATTTGTGTAACTCCTATAAAAAGTTTTCAAACAATAACTTTTGTCAATGCTGAATAGTAAAAGTGTCTCCTAATGTTAAAATGCTTATCTCATAGATTATTACAACTATTCATAATTCTTTTTTCTTTTTTAAATTCTGTCTTTTCTATATATATACTCTTTTCATTTCAAAGATATCTCAAGATACATATTTCATTTTAAAACTAAATGAATATATTATTTTTTAAAGTATTTTCAAACCTATTTTATGACCAAACAAGTTAACTAATTGCGTATTTTGTCATTTAACAAGATATTTATTCATATAATAGAATAAAAAGATATTAAAATTAGCTATCATAAAAAGT